GTAGTTCATTCGCACTCTAAGTTACTCTTATACACATTTGCATCATACTCCGCAATATAAACATCCTGCATTTCATCATGGCAAGAATTAGAGGAGGGTCTATCAGTGCCGGATGTACTACAAGGTTCAAGTTGAGGGATGAAGACATTGACATTGTTGAGCCATCCACCACCAAATCTCCAAAGAGAGGAACAAAAAAACATGGTGGAAAAGGGAAAGGTTCGGCCCAAAAGAAACATTCAGAGGAACGGCAAACTGCTTCCGTTGAGCAAACTGAGGAACAGCCCACTGTACTGCCCCCTGTCAGTGATAGTGAAGAGGAACTAGAGCAGCCTACTAATGTTGATGCATCCGTCACGAAATCACCCAGAAAAGGGACTGAACCTCAGAGTAAAAAGGGGAAACGGTCTGCTAAAAAGAAGGGGACTGCTCAAACTAAGGAAAGGCAAACTGCTGATCCTTCTGTTGAGCAAATTGAGGAACAGCAGACTACTGAACAAAATGCTGTGAATCAGCAAGCCACTTAGACTTCCACCAGGAAGTCACCAAGAACAAGGTTTGGTGGACAGACCGACGTACATGATGCTCCACGAAATGGAAAGAGGAAACGAACTGCCAGGGAGCAACCTGAGGCTCAGATTGCAGAGGAACCTACCCCACTACCAAAGTTCATTGATAATGATGCCAGGGATAGATTCGAATTGGTCTCTCAGAAGGGCTTCATCACCCAAAGGATAATTGTTCCTCCGGAATTTCATAAGCTTGACCTTGAACCTGTTCTTAAGCTCTTTGAATTCTAAAAATGGACTCACATTTTGAGCATTCCCAATACTTATTACCCTGACATGCTTCATCAATTCTTTGCCAACTTTAGGAAAGGTAGATCACACACTGATCTAGTTTCACGTGTCAATTCTGTTGATATAAAATTAAACCCTGACATTGTTAACACTATTCTGAAAACCAAAATTGAAGATGATTTTAAAGGAAAAATTGTAAATTTTTTCTCATATGAAGAATTTCCTTCTACCTATCATCATTTTCATGTTGCAAAACTGATGGTTTATTTTCAAACTCATTTTAATACTCCTACTGAAACAAGATTGGAGGATCTTAGTCTTCAAAATTTGATCATCTTCTCTATAATTTCAAATCTGTTGTTCCTACTGATGGTTATAGGACAGATGCCAACAAAATGGACCTTTACCTGTTTTACTGCTTTCTTGAAAAAATTCGAATTGATTTCGGCTTTGTTATATGCAAATTCTTACTCAAAATCAGCACTGATAGCCGTAGAAAACTTTTCTATGAAAAATTTCTGACCCCAATCTTTGCTCATTTCAAAATTCGTTTTACTGGCAAATCACCAAAAAAAAGTGCATCCACTATTTTTTCAAAGGCATATTTTGAAAGAAAATATTTAAAGTTTTTTATGGTAAATGGTGCTACAAGGAAACTGTTTTGGAGTCTAGGAGAAAGAATTATCATGAAACACCTGTCTCCCCTAGGACTGCTCGAGATCAGTCCATGTATGTCTCACCCTTCACTATCCATCCTAGAAGGTCAGCCACTAAGCCCTCTTCATCTAACTCTGAGGTCATTTTTTTGCTTGAGGACCTCAAACAACACATCCTACTCCTTGAAGATGATCTGATGATGACCATGTCACCCGACCAACAAGCCACCTTCATTGACAAAAGGAATTTGCTTGTGTCTCCGGCTCCTCAAGACAATGAGAATGTACACCAAAAGGAACCTAAAACTGAGCCAACTGAGCAAACTCCTCGTACTGAAACCACTTCAGAGTTTCGTGCTTCCAGTTCTCATCCACAAGACAAGGGAAAGACTCCAGCAGCTGAAGAGGAAACTGAAGAGGATGATGATGAGGAAACTGAAGAGGAAGAAGTGGATCCTGCTCAGTTTCGCCTAACAAGGAGGAGGCCTGGATCGTTTAAAATCACCATTTAGGCACTTCTAGGCAAATTGCACTTCATGATTAGGATGGTAATTCATAATAGACTTTTGCATTTTTTACATTTTAAACATTTCACATGCTCTGTATTAAGGATTCTATTTCCTTTCCTCCGCTAGTTTGTAAAACTATTTGGTTATCTTTTATATTCTGAATGATGTTGCTTTTGTGGATTATCCTTCATTTGGTTAACTCTTAATTCCGTTTGGTCTCTGATTTCCGATATTGACTGCCAATATTGATGATATTCATAATGTTGACGATCTTGACTGCTGACAGTGATAATTGCTGATATCACTGTTGAGTTTCGCGTTTCTAGTTGTTGATAATTGCTGATAATATTGATGATGTTGGGTTTCTAGTTGTTGGATACTGGTTTCTGGTTGATCTAATGTTGACAAAAAGGGGGAGAAATGGATATGCAATCTGGTGATAAGTGTAAACTATATGTGAAGGGAAATCATTCTGAGGAGGAGTGTCCAGTGATCTATACGTGAGAGAAAATTATTCTCAGGGGGAGTTTTTTGCCTCAAATTATTTTTCCTCCATCCATTATTTTGTCATCATCAAAAAAGGGGAGATTGTTTATCTCAGTCCGTAGCTTTTGATGATTACAAAACAAATGAATGTTACTAATATCTTCCTAATAGACTTTTTCAGAAATATAACAAAACAGGTTCAAAGACTAAGCACAAAGAATACAGAAGCGGCTGTCGGACGCACAAAAAGACTGGATCAGACGTCCGACATTCATTGCGCAACTTCGGACGCATGAAGAACTCCACTCTCGGACATCTGAAGATATTAAGTTACTTCTTCTAAACTCACTGACTTTAATCGAACGCACATCATCAGAGCACAGGACGTTCGACAAACATTGCGACACTTCGGACGCAAAACTTTGGAGGCACTGGACGTCCGAAAAGAACTGAAGAAGAATTTTCAGTTTCACTCCCTACCGTCGGCCGCATACACTAAAGATACCGGACGTCCGAAATAATTCAAGAAATTTTATTGAGATCACTGCCTGCGTTCGGACGCAAGAAATAGGTCCACCGGACGTCCGACATTACCAACGGCTAGTTGACTCTTCAACTGCCTTCTATCCATTGAAAGCATTTATTGAAAAATTTTTTGGTCTCATATAAATAGAACAAAGTCAACCACTTAAAAACAAATTTGCACATTGAGATTACATTATATCAAGAGTAATTTTAGTGAGAAAATACTCTTCAAGAAAGATTTGTACTCTTAGTTGTATAAATTTCATAGAAGCTTTTCTTGTGTGAGAAGATTACTTCAATAGTGTAGCTTTGTGAGGGTTATCCGAGTGATAGTAAAACTTTCTAACTTGACCAAGTGTGACTTGGGGTAAGGAGGAAGTGATCATTTCTTTGTACACAAAGATTGATTGTAATTGATCAACTCGAAAAAACTTGTTCTATAAAGCGTATTCAAGCTCAAGAGGAGTTTGGAAGTATTCTGGTTTGCTATCCTTTCTCTACTGCTTACTATATTGCAAATACAAATTGTCTTTCTCTTCTACTCACAAGCAATTTTGATCCCTCATTAATTGTTACATTGTGTGGTCATCTAGAAAAGAGGGTAAGTTTCAAATTGAAGAAAAAGAGTCTTACAACTTGATTAGTTTTTAGATAACCTAATTCACTCCCCCCTCTTAGATTGTCTTCGATTCTTATATCACTGAGCGCAAGCTCATACCTTTCCTTTTGTTTTTCTTAGCAGAGTTGGTTCGTGATTCGAGAATTAGCATTTTACTTTTGTTTTAGTTAGACTAAGTGATTAGGATACTATATTATTTTAAATGGAAATTGTAAGTTTAAACTCTCTTTTGTATTTTAAGTTGTCTTGACAGACAACTGTATGTATTAGTTGTATTTAGCGTATTTTGTAGTAAAATTGGATATTGAGTTTGATTTTGTGGTTTGTTATCGAGTCCCGTCGAGAATTGGGCAGGCGATTCGCTGATACCTTAGGGTACGTCCTTGGGAGAGGTGGGGTCGTCACACAAGTGGTACATCTTTAATCTATATATTTAGAGCATTGATATCGTTCACTGCTTTTGTTGGTCTTTGTTAATAGGCCCGACAAACCCAAAAGATTTCAGCCGTAATTAATTTTATTCGCCATATTAGAATTGATTGGCCCTTCAAAAAGGTGGCCTTTATCGAAAAAAAAAAGAAAAAAGAGTGTGACCTTTATTTAGTTCTTTGGGACCCAATGGGTTAATCTTAACTTAATTAACTTATAATCTGGTTGGGTGGATGTGTTGTCTAAACCATGGCTCTTGGATTAGGTTTAATGGACTAATGATAGATTTCAATCCTAAGATAAATTTCAATTAAACTCTAATTACATTTTCGCTATTGTTATCTACAATAATATTTCTTGCACATTGCCACTCTTGCCATTGCACATCATTTTTGTTTTTCTTTTGCTTTTTTGTTCATGCCAAATCAAACAAGTCAGGCCCTTATGTTTATGGGTGTTCATTGGTTGATAATTAGGAGCTCGATAAAACAAATTGGTAATTTGAAAATTAATTTTTTAAGACCAATATCTGATAACCGTTTAAATCTTAGTTTGATAAATTGGATCGGAGTTCTCCTGTAATTCGCTAATATCTGAAATGTGAAATATCAATAGTGAGTTAAAATATTTTAATTTTCTCTAAAAAATTGTCGTAACAAAATAATATCTTATATGTTTTTCCAATAAAATTCAATCAACTCGAACAAACATGATATGGAAAAAAAAGGTTCATAATCCCAAGGCCCAACTAGTAATCTCAATTCTTAAACAACATTGAGATAAATAAGAACTTCAAATTTAATTGTTAAGCTAAACTCCAACGTATCAACTTCCATTAAAAATTTACTTCCAAGTATAGTTAGAATTAAGTTAACTAATTAGTATTTAGTGATAGAATTAAAATTGAAATTCTAAGTGGGCGTAGCATAGCCTGAAGTTTGCTAGTTTAAGATACTTGGAGTCGTACTCCTAAGTCACACACTCACGCTTGGACTTCAATTGTTTGTTCCATTAAAACCATGGTGTGCCATTATTAAAAGAAATTTCACTTATTTATTGTAGCTCCACTGTCCCAATTTGGGGAAGAATAAAGAAACGAGGACGCCACAGTCCTCTACAGCTCCACTTTCCCAAATGAAATCTTTCTTGGTAAATTTCTAGTTGTTTTTACTGTTCTCAAGTCATCTGTGAGTCCCTTTACCCTTTCTGTTCTTTTGGTAAGCTTTGATCAAGAAACAGAGAAGAAAAGCATGTTGAATTCTGTTTCTTGATTAAAATTAGGATTTTCTCTGTTTTGTTTTTTTCAATTGATAAGCAGCCTAGTGTTAGTTTGAGTTAGTGTTGGTTAAATTCGAGTTTAGTTACTTTTATGTTGGTAAGGAAGTTGAGGTTTTGGAAAGGGAAATATGAGTTTCAATTGTTTCAGGGATATGAGAAAGGGAGTTTCAATACCGTATTTCCTCTGTTTTCTGAGGGGATACCAAAAATGGGTTTTCGGGGTCATTCATGATTAAATTCTGTTTTCTTTTTAATACATTTTGCTATTATTTTGATGTAATCAGAGTAGAAAAGGTAAGGGAATAAAGAAGCAAGATGCAGCTATGGAGGGACTCATCCAATTTTGCCACGTCTTTAATGTTTCTTGAAAGAAACTAAGTAGTGGGGTTCTTGTAGTTAGAAAGAGATGAGTGGAAATTTCTTTCTTTCTGTTTTTTCCCTCTGGGGCAATTCTTTTTCTCAGGTCACTAAAGCTGAAGAGCTGAAGTTCTTGTCTTTTAGTGTTCAAATTTTTATTGAACAGTTAAGGTATGACATTTTGTTCATTTCAATTTTGGGTTTTGACAGGTGAATTGTAGGGTAATTTGATTTTTGTTATTGAGATTATAAGTTAAAAGAAGGATGGCTTACCAAAGGAGGGGATCAGACCTCCAACCACAGAGGCATATTCTGCGGACACAGGCTGCTGGTAATCTAGGGGAGTCTATGATGGACAGTGAGGTGGTGCCATGTTCACTGGTAGAGACTGCACCAATTCTCCGTGTTGCCAGTGAGGTTGAGCCAATTAATCCCGGGGTTGCTTATCTCTGTGAGTCCATGACCATTTCAGTATCCTTGTGTTGGTTGTTATTACACAAATATGTGTGTATGACATCTAAGCAATCCATCATCTAAAAACCATTGGTGGATATCAACTAATTGGCTCTAAGAGCTGAGTTCATGTCTAGATGAATTTTAATACTGAAGGTTGTACGGCTGTTCAGCTGATAATGTTGTACCAACGTGGCACGAGAGGAAAATATGAGTTTAAATGGTATTAATTTACTGACTGTTATGCTACGCTTCTTAATCTCAAGCTAGTGTTTCAGTCTTCTCAAGTCATATAGGCATCAAATTCTAGTTAAATGTTGTGGTATTAATGCTATTGCCCTCCCTTTTTGTGACTATAGGAAGGATGATAAGTTGTCTAGACATGCTAATGTTTATATGGTTTCCTCGAATTCAGTTGTTACAAAATTTTGTCTTTTTGTAGTTGACTAGTACTCAAGATTTTGAGGCCATGTATTTACACCATAATACATACTCTAATGGCCTTGCTGGGGGACTCAGGTCGATTCTATGCCTTTGAGAAAGGTCACCGTTTGGATCCAACATCAAATGGATGACGAGTCCATCAGTTCGAAACAGCCTTGATTCAACGTTTGGAAAGGGTAATGTCAAATTTTCATGAGTTAGGCGGTTGTTTTTCTAGGTTCTAATATGATAAGTTTTAACTAATGAGAGAAAGTGAATCGGGGGGAGGGTTGTGTTGGGTGGTCCGGTGGGAGGCATTGTAAAGAAGAGGTGTTGGGTTCAAGGCCTCCCACTTACAAAAAAAAAAGAAAAATAAATAAATAAAAATAAAAAATAAAAAAAGAAAGAGAAAGTGAATAGTTCAGGTTGTCATTTAACATTTGTGGCTATATGTGATGCTTTGGTATAAACTGAAAAGAATGATCAGAAGTTTAGTCTGAATTCAAATGAATAAATTGTGTCTAGTTACTCAGTGTAACTTTAGAATATTCTAGTGCTTGTATTAGCAAGAGGACTTTGTTATCAGACTAATCCACCATATTTGGATTACTCAAACATATTCTTGCTACTTGTCTTCACCCAAAGATGAATGAGCCATTTCTATTCCTACATTTTCCAAGAAGTTTGCCTGAGGAAATTCATATAATTTGGATATTTTGATAGGAAAATGATACAACATTAGCTGGAAGGACAAAGAGTGATGCTCCAGAAATGCAGAGTTTCTATCAGCACTACTACAGGAAGTATATTCAGGCGTTGCAGAATGCTGCTGATAAAGCTGATCAGTAGGTTATCTGCAGTTGTGGGCATTAATTTCTTAATAGCTAAGTGCAGATTCCTTGCTTAATGATTCTTTATGATCTCCTAATCTGTCCAGTGCCCAACTCACAAAAGCATACCAAACTGTTGTACTTTTTGAGGTCTTGAGGGCCGTTAATTTGACAGAATCAGTTGAAGTGGCCGATGAGATGCTCTACTTTCTTTCCTTGTAGGTCATAGATAATCTTGATTGTACAGGAAAGTATACTGGCAATTTGCAGACGAAGTCTTTTCTATGCATCTGCTTGAGGAGGTTTCATCCTGTTAGTTGCTTCAATTCTCCTTGTACATTTCTTCTGCAAAAGAAAAAGAAAAACAGAGGCAATTAAAATAGTTACTCAATCAGTTAATGACAAGTTCCTTTGCTCACGCCTAAAGCAAGCATCTCAATTCATACCCAAAATAGAGTTCCTTTAGTCATAACAATTTGGTTGCTGATTTCTAATTCAATCAATCCGAATTTTAACATGTAACAATTTTGAAGTTTGAAAAGCTCAATATGACCACGCGCATTGAATTTTTGGCCCAATCCTTGATCAATTTGGTCTTGAACATGTATCTCGACCATCCAACAGCAAAATAATGCTAATTAAGACAGTAATGAAGCTAAAAATATATTTGAGTGGAGGTACAAATTAACCATAATTTTTTAAAATCTTTGTAAATCCCACACCCCTTCTCAATTTATACTTTACACAATTAATTAAATGGTAAATTGACATGGGTAAAAATTTAAAATAATTGTAGGATAGGTTAAAGGGTTAAGTGAGGGATAGGATAAGAGTTCACAACAAATTAAAATTCTTATCTAAACCACCAAATAGTGGGTGGTTATTAGGGTTTAGAACTTTTATCAAAACAATAGAGAGAAAATAACACCGTTCCTATTTCTAATTTGTTTGCCTCCTCTTAAAGCAAGAAACAACTAAGAATAGAAGAGAGGGAGAAGACATCATCGTCGGATAAGCAAACAATTAAGTATCTAGATTTGTAAGTTCCGAATGTACGTTAAAATTCTTTTCTCTTAAGTCGTATTAGTTCCATGAACTATTTTTAGAGATTTTATGTATATGCACATTATGATATATTTATGCCTGTACGAGAAATTTAGGAAGATTTATATTTGCATTGATAGAAATAGGGTGTTAAATCTTAGCTATCGGGTAGAATAAAGTTTAAATCTTCATTTTGTTGAAAAGTTAAAAAAAGAAAGAAAGAAAGAAAGAAGAGGAAGCTGCTCGCGGCGCTGTTGCTGAAACCTCTAAAATGTGAAGCTTCAACAACGCGAGACAGAAACAAAAAAAAAAATTAGTAGTCAAGAATTGTGGCGCTGCCAAAGCTGGACCAAAAGCTTTGGCAACGTCAGGTGAAGACAAGAAACGAAAGGGCCAGGCAAGGACCTGGCCAAGGAAAAAAAAAAAGGGTCGCAGCAGCTATTTTTTTGTTGTTGCTGTTGATGGGTTAGGTCCAGAGATGGTTAGGTATGTATGTGGGCTTGTTTAATTGGAAGTTGGGTCAAGGGCAAAGGAGTATTGGGCTAAAGGCTGGAAGAAATAAGAAAATGCTTGGGTCAGAACCTTGGATCGTTATTTAGGTCCCGAAAAAAAAAGAATATAATGGCAAGTATATTTGGGTTAGAAATATAGTATGGGTTTGGTAAATATTTGATAGATAAATTTTAGAAATAACTAGGCCATCTTTTATGGACTAACATAGGAATTAAATTTCAAACCCAACCTAAAGATAATTTTGGAGTTTAAAGATTTAGTCATTTAAGCTTATACTTAATTAATTTAGTCTAAGATATTTAAATGGAAATCTAAAACATCTTAATCTAACCTTATTAGATAAATTTATATAATGTAAGATAAGTACTAGATTGTTAAACGAAACGCTTAAAATCATAATAATAATAATAATAATAATAATAATAACAACAATATAGATGTGGATGAAATAAATTAAAGAAATAAATGAAAATATAAATACAAGTGGAATAAACTAAAACAATAATTATAATAATAAGTCAATATATATATATACATATATACATTAAAAAAAATAACACCTACACATGCGTAAAAATGAAAGTAAAACAAAAGATAATAGTAGCCAATTAGGAAACCTATGCATTTGATAGGTATGACACAAGTTTAAAGGATCTAAGGTAGTTTCACTCGAGCAGCCAGACAAAGATAGGTGGTACTTACCCTTTTGAGATTTCAAAAGTGCAAAGTGCAATTTTTGTTATCAATCATATTTTGATGTGTTAACTTCGAATATATTTTATTAAATGATTTACTTGAATATTTATGTGAGTTCTATTTTTACTATACAAAGATGGACCATGTGACTTATTTGAAACATTTTGATATGTTATTATATACCAAATGAGATGTATCTTTTATGAAATCAAGAACTATGCATGTGACGTGTGAAATGAATTTATATTAAGTAAAATTCAAAACAGTCATGGAATAGATAGTAGGGGCTATAGTCCTACCTAGTGGTCATGGTAGCCTGGTGTAGAATCCGGCCGATTGACAAGGTCATGGTAGTTTGGTATAGAATTCGATCGATTGACCCATGTATGTAATTAGGGGTGGCAATCAGGTCCAAATCAGGTTGGCGGGTCGGGTCCTGACCCGACCCGCCAAAAAATATATTGACCTGAACCTGACCCGTCAACCCGTGACGGGTCAGGCATGCTGACCTGAACCTGAAAGTTTCAGGTTGGCGGGTCAAACGGGTTGACCCGCCAACCTGAAATTTAATTCCCATTCACTGATTAACCTGCTGTGATTTTTAATAGAATCAACTCCAAACTAAATTAAGACATCATAAGAGTAAAAATAATATAATACATCATCTATCCAAATTTAACAGCTCTAATTTCACACAAGTCAAACAAATTCAACTAGAACAATCTAAACAAAAGTCTACCAACCAAAGTTACAAGTTTAGAGTCAATATATTACAATTCACATGATATTAAATCACAACAAAAGTGATGCTCCAAGGCCAACCAATGTTCTGCCGGTCTGCCTTCATCATCAGCAACAACAACATTCATAATTTGCGTCCTCCAAGCAGCATTCATAGCAACCACTCCAGCTAGGAGAATTATGACCAACACCAAAGAGAAAGAGAGAATTACTTGGATATTAAACCACGTATTAAATCTTATGAAATATTTTTAATCAAATTTAAAAATTAACTCACCATGCATCAAGTATCAATGTATCATGGATTAGAGATTAATAATATTAGAATTTGAATCCTCAATTATTGTTGCATCAACCTCATCCTTGTTGATGTTGAGAGACATGATATTTTGAGTTAAATCCTCCAAATTCATATTTAGAGATCCTACATTATAAGAATGAAAAAAATATATGAGTAACAATACCATAATAGTAAAATATGCAAAAAAAAAAATTGTATTTACCTTCACTTTTATCTCCAAACAACCAGTCCTTAGTGCAAACTAAAGCCTCAACAATTTGGGGTGAAAGTGAACTACGAAATTGATCCAAAATTCTACCACCAAGGCTAAATGCAGATTCAGAAGCAACGGTCGATACTGGAACACATAGAATGTCCCTTGCTAATTTACTCAAATCTGGAAATCGAAATTGTTGAGCTTTCCAATAATCAAGAACATTAATATGTGAGGATCGTTTAGCTCTTGGCTCATCTAAATACATTTCCAATTGACTTTTTTGTGCACTAGAGGCAAATTCAAAAGTGTCAAATTGATCAAATTCCTACATAAGTTACAAGCAGAGATATATTAGATACGATAATAAAACAAAATAGTTAAAAATCATCATCACAATAATAATTTTAGAACGCAATAAAGTTACAAAATTTTAATTTTCATACCTCTAAAACATCAAATGATTGGTTGTCTTCTTGGTCCTTGGCTCCATGAGAATAGACTTCATTGCTGCCTCGAGAGCATGAAGATGATGCACCAGATATGTTGAAAGTCCTCACATACTCATTATAGACATCAAAAAGTGCATTCCTGATCTTGACTAATTCATTAGACCCCGGGCCATATAACTTATTATAACTAAATTCAATAAATTGAAATTTATACCGAGGATCAAATACCACAGCAATTGCCAACAAGAGATTGAACTCGGACCAATATTTGTTAAACTTCACAAACATTTGGGAACCAATCCTCTTCATAAAATCATCCGAACTCTTGCATTCCTCGGACAGCTTCAATTGAATTTTAAAAACTTGAGGAAAGTACAAGTTACTAGTTGGATACTTGGACCCCGAAAAAGCATTAGTTGCCTCATAGAAAACTTGAAGAAAGCTACAAATTTTTTCAACTCTTCCCCATTCTTCAAGAGATGGACAGCACCGAAAATTTGAATCACTTAGTTGTAAGTGACAAAATGCAAGGCGATAATAAAGTGCACTGGACAGCATCCTATATGTGGAGTTCCACCTAGTAGGAACATCTTGAACTAAAGCCTTCTTGGAATCAAGAGAAGTTTGTGTTACACATTCGGTGAACCTTAACTTCCTTGTTTGAGAACCCTTGACATATTTGACACATTCTCTTATTAACTCCACAGATTTATCAATTTCTTTCAAACCATCTTGCACAATCAAGTTGAGAATATGTGCACAACATCGCACATGAAACAACACACCATCACAAACCAGAGAATTTTTCAACTTAAGCTGATTCTTAAGTATTGCAACACAAGAATCATTTGCAGAAGCATTGTCTAATGTGATGGAAAATAATTTCTTTTCAATACCCCAACTACTAGCCAAGCTGTAAATTTTTTCAGCTAAGGCAACACCATTATGAGGAGGAGGCATATAAGAAAAATTCAGAATTTTTTTCTGTAGCAGCCAATTGCTATCAATGTAATGTGCAGTCAAACTTAAGTATCCATCAGTAACAATAGATGTCCATGCATCAGAAGTTAAACATATTCGACTAGGACATCCACGCAATTCACTACCAAGTCTATTAATTTCCCTTGCATGCAATTTTTTAATGTCCGACTTGGCTGTGTTCCTAGTGATATGTTTAATTTGGGGTTCCAAATATGTAAGGACATTTTTTATTCCCTCATACTCCACAAATGAAAATGGCAGTTCATGTCTTACTATAGCATGCACAAGTAATTCTCTAAACTTATCTTGACTGAATTGTGCATTTCGTGTGCCTAGAGCACCTTTGTCAGAAGTGATTAGGTACTGCCCAATGTCCTTTGTTGTCATTTTCACACACTTCTTTATATGTCGATGCAAATTACCTGTCCCACTTTTACTCTCAGCAGAATATTCATTCCCACATTTCTTGCATTGGCACTTCAACTCTTCATTTGGATCCTTTTTGGGAATAATGTTGAAGTAATCCCAAACTTCTGAAGTTAATCTCCTCTTCTTGCCAGGCACACCGATAGTAGCTTTTGGAGGTAACTTCTTTTTTCCAATTGCACTAGTGTCCGGGCATTGAGATTCCTGGTTGGTATGGCCTGTTTCCTTGATGCTATCACTACTGCTCCCGGTATCACTATCTTCTTCAATAGTGACTGAATTTGGATATGTCATACTTATATCCATCTGTTAATCATCAAGATGAACAAACTGATTAAAAGCTGTTAATCATGCCAAGTGCTATGCAAATTACATGAAACAAAAATAGTAAAAGTATTTCACAAGCAATTGCCTAAGTCCCTTTACATCTAAACTATCTCCAGCTGCCTACCGCAGCCAGCAAAAACTAAAATTCACAACTAAAATCAGGTAAAATTCATCATTTGGGTACCTTAAAGAGAATTCTAAAATCTTCCCCAGTTGCACCATCACTATTTGAGATCATCGTCATCTTATTGCACTTCATCTCAATAAAAAAGAATTCAAATAATGTTGTCAAATCCTATATGCCCACACTCTGTTCAGTATCAAATCACCACTAACAAGTCTTTATTTTCCTCATTGTTATAAAAAAGATAATCAATAGATTACTAACAAGGAAATGAAGCCGTTTCATACATTCATTTCATGTTCCCATGAAAATGCAGCACAAAAGGAATCTAAACTCAGTTAACCCATCACTTAACGTATAAGACAATCTAATGCCAGTTGACAAAAGGAAAATTAATGTGCATCAGTTGGCACCTTGGAAAGCATCAAATCGGCATCAATTACAATTTCATGTGTCAAAATGGCAAAAAATAAATGGATGGTTTGGCTTTTCACCATCAGGTTAATGCAGAAATTAACATTAACGATTAATCATCCCAGTACAGTAAATGATTTGAACTCTTTTTTCAAGTTGCCCGGAAGATCATAGCCTCCAGTGATTAAGTAGTGGCCAAACAAAAGTGCAGCTTTGGGATAGGCCAAATTCACTCATAGGTAAAAAAAAAAAAATTGAACTTTTTTTTTACCAATATAGATTCAGTGTATAAATTTTTTTTTTTTAGCTAATTTAATAACTAAACTTTTAGTCGTTGAAGACTTGAAGTCTTTTAGAACCAAAGTCAGCTCCAGTAGTGAGACAAATGTTAAGACTTAAGAACAAGCCACGCCATGCCACTAAGTCTCATGAAAAAAATTATCAACACAAAAACCCTACACTTGCAAATTGCAATGGCTCAGATCCATGCAAAACATGTTTTTTTTTTTGGAAAAACATGTTCAAAAAAGCAGTCAAATGATGAAAACCTAACCTTTAGACTTTTGCAAACAACATTAATGTGATTAACATGTTGCCCATTAATTGTATCGTACCATTGCAAGTCAAAATTAGCAACAAAGTCTGCCTTTGTTTTTAGAAAAGAGGGAAAATGCTCAAGAAAAGAAAAGAAGTAAACTACGGAGTACGGACCTTATTGACAGTAGAACAAATGAACTTGCAACCCAAAACAATGTGATTGAGCAAGATCTCGCGAGATTTTGCGTACTTGGACTGTTGGACAGTTGGACTACTCGTTCAATATAAACTTGGTAAAGGTCATCAAATCAGTCCTGTGTGCATCAGTATCATCATCAGCCAGATCTAAATTTGGTTTTGCGTTTAGATTTGTTGAGGAGAAAAGCTGCGTTTAGGGCCGGCTGCGTTTGGAGGAGAAGAAAAGCTGAAAAGGGGAAGAAAGATTTAGGGCCGGCTGCGTAGTGAACTACAGAACTAGTGATAACTGATAAGTGATAATTATTAATTGGTATATTATATTTAGTTATTTACATTTTACTATTAAGTTTTTAGATATTTTTTTAATATTTATTTTTTTTTATTTTAAAATCGGGTTAGCGGGTCAACCCGTTTTTAACCCGATTTTGACCTGTTTTTTTTCGGGTTTGTCGGGTCTGACCCGATTCTGACCCGATTTCTCAAAATCGAAACCCAAACCCATTAATTTCGTGTTAGGTTCGTGTCGGGTTTTCAGGTCGTGTCGAAAATTGCCACCCCTATATGTAATGAGACCAATCAGAAGTCATGAAACATATTGGTTGCCTACCTAGAAGGGGTTTAATCTCTAGGTTGAGTACTCAGAAGCCGATCATTGCATGTACTTGTTATGAATTGATATGAAATGACTTATGACTTTATGACTTTCATGTATGATTATGAATAAGATGTTTACCAATTGTGATGTCACTCATCATTACTGATTGTTTTACAAATAATGTTGCTTTCAATTATTATGGATGTGAACAATGTGCAAATAGTTTGGTTTATATGTATATATGTATATGTGGAGTTATGGTTGCATGGTCCAATAGAGGGTTAGATACTACCTACTGAGCGATTTGTCGCTCAACCTAATTTTTACCATTTTTGCAGATTCTGAGGAGTATGAGTTGATTTATATAGAAGACCCTGAGGATGATTTTTATTGGTTCTAAATGGATGGAAATTGGCAGCCTAGCTACCTCTAGCTGTTAGTTTTATTTATTTCCTTTTCTACTTTTTCGACCAGAGAATAAATCTACGAATTTATTGAATACTTGTAGACTACCTTTCATTTGACATTTGTACCGCACTTTATTTAGTTATACTATTTAGTACTTTCTAAATTTAGTGTAGTGTAATATTGCCTTGTATCCTTGAGTGAGACTTGAGGATACGGCGGATGTCAAGTAACTGGCATGTGCAGGCTTGGGGCGTGACATTTTTAGTGGTATCAGAGTTTAGGTTATATGATCTAAAAGTATGTGAAATGGTGTTTGCGATTTTAGGGGCTTTGAGAATTGAAATGAGATAAAAAGAAAAAAATGATTAAAGGAAATAAGAGATTCTCATGATTTTTAATGTTATCAAAGTTTAGGTTATGCGATCTAGATGTATGTTGAATGATGTTTGTAATATTAGTGATTTTAGGAATTGGAATGAAGTTGGATAGAAGATTGTGAAATAAGAGATTTCCATAATATTTACTGATAACAGAGTCTGGGTACGATTTACTCTTTAGAGGAAATACACACTAGGAAATGATCAATGTGATTGAATAAATAGGCTTGAAAATTTGCATGTGTGATTTAAGTTGAAATTGTACTATTGGTGTTTATGATATTCTTTTATTGGATATGATTTTGGCAGTACATTCTAAGTTTAAGATGTCGAACGTGTAAGAAATATTATATATATTTGAAGTATTGTTTATAGGAAATTGAAAGTATCAAGGAATTAAAGTATGCAGCAAGCATGATGGATTAAATAAAGAGACCCAGTTTAAATAGTGTAGGATTAATTGCACGATGGGTGACAACGACATTGGAGGTTATATTGACTTATCTTGACGTGAGCTAAGGCTTCACGGATGAAACCACTTCAAAGGACGAAAAATGAAATGTTGCGGACCTTTTCTATTTGCAAAAGAGCTCTATCAATAGTGCTCTTACCTGGATAGAAGTACTACTGATGCTGCTATTATTTTACTCTTGTTAAACTATTACCACTATTGGTGACAACTAATAGGTGTATGGCTTTATCCCATACAAATTGATATAGTCTAGCAGTAGTATTCCTTTGGTGGGAGATGTGGCCAAGAGTGAATAGACTTGTCTCTTTTTGAGATTTACAACGATTAGATCTAATGCCTCAGACAATTATTGAATTAGTTTATTGGCATTATTACATCGTGCTTAGTCAATAAATATGTTAGAAATTTCTTCGCAGGTTTTGGTTCAGTTGATCCAATCAGGGAGGGTGTCGAAGTGGCCTTTATGCAACACGTTGCGTCGGATACGTCATCTCTTAGCCTCGCTGCCCTCTTCAGTGTCGCACATCTTTCGGGAGGCTAATACTTCCTCCGACTTGATGGCTAATTCACGTTGGGGAACCGATTTCTTTTGCACATCTCATCAGCAACTGCTGAGTGTGGTACGAGCATCTGTACTCCTTGACACTAGGGAGTTCTCATCTGTACGGTACCATCTTACAATAGTGCCTTCAAGGTAGTACTCTCGATAACTGCCTGGCTGAATGCGCACGCTGTACTCTTTCTCTTCCGTTGCTTTTCAATAAAAGAAGAACTTTTTATTAAAAAAAAATGTTAGAAATTTCTTAGAATACATAATCTTACATAGTTCTTGTCTTAAAAAAAATTATTTCACGAACGAATGCTAATCAAGATTTTTGAATAAGTATCTTTATTAAATAAGTATAATTTCTATAAATATGTATGCACCAAGATACATAAATTAACAATAAAAAATGAATAAACACCATAAATAATAATATCCTATAACCCTGAACAAAATGTTTTTATGATGCTCATCCAATCTCAAAATGAGCTATAGATAAATGTGTTCTACATTTAAAAAAAAATCATATCATGTAGAAAGAATATAACAATAATTCTTAATAAATTCTCTTTGTACTCTAAATTCTAATGGTGTAAGAAGTACAATTAACTAACTTATGTGTTTCAAACACTTCCAGGTTTCTAAACTTGTATGAGTTCGAAATTCTATGCATAGATAAATACTTTACCAAAGTTATGATAAAGTTATTATATTCAAATATGAGAATTTGGCGATAATTTTTGTATAAAATTTTGTGTTTTTTGGTATGTTTTACCGTAATATGAATATGTGTTTTGGAAATTGAATTGAGGTAAAAAAAATGACCAAAGGAAATAAGATTCTCATGGCATTTAGTGGTATAACAACTTAGGTTATAGGATTTGGAAATAGCTGTGATGCTATTTGAGGTATTATTGATCCTTTTTTTTTTTTGGAATTTGAAATGAGATAGATATGAAATTTGAGGGAAATAAGAGATTTCCATTACCAATTGCAAACACAGTAGGTAGGAACCCATATATCGAAATAATGATTACTTTTTGTGATAGTAGATAAATAAGTTGTGATAGAATGTGTGACAAAAGAAAAAATGGTACTGTTAGTGTTTATGGTATCCTTTCTATAGGTTGATCTTTATGGAGCGCTCTAAACCGATATTTAGAATGCCGAATTTGTAAGAGATATTATAAGAGCTATTGTGTTCATCTAAGCTATATAAATATGAAGATGGAAGATATTGAGAAAAATAAGAATGCGCAGCAGAAGATTGATGGAATTAAATAAGAAAATCCAATTTAGACGTTGTAGAAATAATTCCCAAGATGTATTGCAAGAACATTGAAAATTTTGTTAAATTATTTTGATGTTTGTTTTTTTTTTTTGTTTCGAGGACGAAACCTTTAAAAGGGGAGAGAATGGGATATCTAGTCTAAAAATGAATTGCGAAAGTAGTGTCGGATTGAGATCCTAGATACACGTCTAAATTTTGGTCAATCTACCAAGAGATTATGGAGACTGATTTAAGACTAAGTACCGCATTCCACCCCAAAACGGACAGACAATCAGAAAGGACCATACAAACACTGGAGGGCATGATGAGAGCTTGTGCTCTAGACTTCTCGGATAGTTAGGATAGGTTGGTGAAACTAATGGAATTCTCGTATAACAATAGCTATCATAGCGGGATAGGTATGACACTGTTTGAAGTGTTATATGGGCGATAGTGTAAATCTCCCTTATATTGGGATGAAATAGGTGAGAAGCTAATCACCGGCCCCGATTTGGAGGAAAGAATCTTGGAGAAGATTAAAGTTATTTGAGAGAGACTAAAAGTAGCTCTGCATCGAAACAAGAATTGGGCAAATTTAAAGAGAAGACCTTTAGCATTTCAACTGAGAAAAATGTTATATTTGAAAGTATCCCCCATCAAGGGAGTGATGAAGTTTGGACCCAACTAAGAAAGTATGTATCAGACCCGAGCCATATTTTAGGGGATCAACCCATCAAGGTGAGGGAGAACTTATCAGTGGACGAAATTCCTTTGAAAATCGT